AAAGATTCTTTCATCTTTATTTAATTGGTATAAAAATTAATTAAGAGGGGTGTAGATAGGAAAAACAAAAATTAGAAAGATAAGGGAAAGAAAAAACGTGTTCTACAAGAAAAGAGGAAGAGCTGCATAAAACCTTAGTGCAAGGGAAGATTGGTAGTGTTTTAGGGTTGTAGATAAAGCCTTATGATTGGCTAAGGTATGGGGAAGCTTACCTTTATTTGTTTTTGGTTGTATATATGTGTTCTTAATTATCTTGATTGGTAATCCTTGTTTTAATACATGTGTATATGATTATGATTATTTGTGGTTATTATTGGGTAGGAGTTTGTGTATGAATTGGATAGGGTTTATGTAATATTTGTGATGACTTTTCCTTTGAATGTATTATTTATGTTTTGTTGGGTTATCCCAATAGACAATTTGATGCTAAGAGAGAACAAAGTTATGATGCTTGGTGGTTTCCATGCAAATATATGTTGTAAGTGTTGGGTTATTGAGTTCCCTTCCTATGTGGCGAATATGCCAAATAACATGGACCATTAGGTCTCACTTTTTTTTTAGCGGAGATGGTTCAAATTAGTAGGACACATTAATGTGGTTTGAAGAGAGGGAAAAGCCAAGTGAGAGAGAAAGGAAGAGAAGAAGTCATTCCTGCATAACATAAAACCTACACTGGTGTTTTCGCCGTTTTGCAACTGTTCACCGTTGGATCGGGCTGATTTTTGGACTGTAGGTTCCAGACGTACGGTTCTCTATTATGACCGCTCGGATCTTCAATCAACGGTCTAGTTCAAGAGAAAACAACCTCACATCAGTAGCTTTATTTTTGAGAATTTTCATCTTCTTGGTTCTCACTTGTAAGCATTAGCTCTGATTGAAAAGTCTATTTGGTGTTTTTATCGGAGACACTTTTGCATCCTATTATTGGGGGTATAACATGTCAATGATTGGATCTGGATGATTCAAGTGATCTATTATATGTGTTTGAGTATGTTTACATAGGTATGTATGCTTAAATGTATGTATGATGTGTTAACTATATTTCCATGTGCTCTAGGGTTGATGTATGTATGTTTGAATGCTTGAATCATGTCTAGGATGTATTTTGATTGACAATAATTGATTATCATTAGTTATAATTGATTATCTACTCGTTGGTTTTGTGTGTGGTTTCAGGAATAATTGATTATTTGGGATGATGATTAATTATCCCTTCGTAGTGATGTTTCTGGATAAATTTCACTTAGATAATTGATTATCACTTATAATTGATTATCATAGTTCATTTTGGTGAAAAATGGCGAATTTGATGAAGAATGGATGTGAACCAAGCTTGGGGAGTTGTGGAACACGAATCAGAGATTGAGGTTAGGGGCTATGTTTATGGTCAGTTTGACTTGTGGTTGAGAGTGGAACATGAATGAGTGTTGGAATGTACCTAAGCATGTGATTGATGAACATGAGAATGAAGGATAAGTCTACTTTGTACCTCGTAAATCCGGGTTCTATCTGCGGATAAGTGCTTCCTTTTTCCTTATGTGCATTGGAAGGAGATGATCTGTAGGGAAGGCTACAAATGTCCTGCAGGGGAGGCTACAAGTGGGCTGTTGGAGCGGCTACAGTCGGTGAGGTAGGATACATGAATAAGATCGACTCTTTCCACTATGGTATTATGTTACGGTGATTCTAGTGGTGATTTTCATGATTGGGATAGTCACGATGGTGGTGTATCTATGATGATGATCATGTTGAGATGCTCCAAGTTATGTTATGTTGATAATGGTGTTACTATAATGGTTATAGTAAGTAGTTAGCATGGGTGCTAATGAGTGGATATACCAAGTGTCTATGTAAGATGTTAGTGATGACATCAAGGGTTATAGATCAAGGATCAATGATCGAAGTTCAAGGATTAGGGATCGATGATCGAGTAATTCAGTATGATTGAATTGTTTATGTTAGAGGATTATGAATTCTATTGTTATTACTACTATGTATGTGGTGTTTGATTATGGTTGATATATACAAAAACTATGTATCTTGTTGTGTGTTTGATTATGTGTAATCAGAAGATATGCATCTTGTTATGTGTTTGATTATTGTTGATTTAATCAGTAATATGTATGTATCTTGTTGTTATGAATGTTTTATCGGTATTTTACCTCATACATGTTTGTGTTAGTGTGTTTATGAATGAAATTATCTATGATGATCGTATAATGTGTTATACGTGAGCAGATAATGTTACAGATGTTCCAGATGCTTGATTGACTCGAGAGAAGGTGGGGAATAACCTTGGGATTCATTTAAAGCTATTTTGTTTTACAAGTTAAGGCAATATAATTGGAGTATCTCTTTCGTTATTTAATTACTTGAAATAATATAATTGGATAAAGTTTTCTTTAAACACGTTTCCGCACTATGATAAATTTTGAATTTTACCGATTTTTAATAACCCATGACATCTTAGAAATCAGAGTGTTACGTTCAGAAGTCATATCTGAAAAATAATACAGCCTAATTTTAACAAAGTACTTAAAATTTATTTTACAAATAAATAACTATATTAACATATTCAGAAATCTTCTATAATTGAAATAATACTTCTATGAACTAAATTAGAAAAAAACCATTTAAATTATAAATTATTTTTTAATTACATTTTAAACTATTGAAATAATTAAAATTATCTTAAAGAAAAAAAATCTAGTGTGGACACTTCGTCCACTCCTTTTATATCTAAATCACAAAACACAAGATTAGAAAGTCTTAAGCTTGAAGTGAAATTCAAACTCAAAATAATACTAATTGACAATTTGAATATATGGCGAAGGACATTCAGTTTGTAATAATAATGAAAATTAATTATTTAATTAGAAATTTTAGTTCTTATATTTATTTTTAATTCAATTGAGTTTATGTTTTTTATACGGAGATGAAAAATGCAATTTATCTACGTACGGATTTTAATCCATAGGTAACGTAAGTATTATGTAAGGATTTTATATACATATTTTTAAAAATGAGTTAAATACATATTTTTATTTACCGATTTTTCGTATGTAATTTTACTGTGTTAAGGCGGAAATTTTCTAAGTATATTATTCATATGTAAACATTTAAAATTCGTATGTAATTAAAAAATATTTACCAACTTCACCTACGGATTTTCAAAATTATTTATTAAAAAATAAAAATAAAAATAAGATTTAAACGAAATTTCTTTCTATCCGCTCCACCATTTCAGAAAATAGAAACCCTAAAAACGTTTCAATCTTCATTCTTCCTTCTCACAAATTTTCACCATCTTCATCTTCACCCCTGTTAGTTCTCTTTTGGCAGGACACACAACTTTCCATAATTTTCTCTCCTTTCCATTTTCAATCGAAACTCCACCTCACATGCCTCCTTCGTGTTGGCCGTTCCCTTGGAACCTAGCCTCCACCACGTGGTTCTCTTCCGAATTGAGAGACCATCAAATCGAAGGATTCCCTGCTTAGACTCATGTGAAGGCGGTTGGAATGACAATGGCGAGAGTGGTAGGGGATGCGAAGGAAGGAGAGAAATCAAGTGGTCCGAGAGGCGTCCGGCTTGTCGAGGAACAGATCCTTACGCATGCGAAAAGCAACATAGGAAACGATGGTGATGCCAAGCATGATAAGCTTTGGTGCAGGCTTTAAATGCAATAGTTGTTCTCTATTGCTCACAGACCCACCTTTGTTCTTTGCAGGTTGAAAACCCCCATTTCTGAGGAACCCTGGTTTGGTTTTTTCCAACTCCAATGGAGCTTCACTTTTCCAAATCGATGGTGCCGTTGAAATTCCCTACATACCCAATGAGAATGCCGACGAAGATCCCGAACATAGAATCACCATCGATGACAAAGGTGTTGGTTATTTTAAATGTTTTAAAATAAATCTCCTACTAGGGAGAATAAGTCATTAGTCAGTTAGCAAATTTTATTCATAGACAGGTGCTGTTTATTAAATTTCAGTAACTGTCCATTATGCAGAGCAGTTGTGATGTACTGGTTTTTTGGCTTTTATAAGCTACGCTTGATTACTCAATAAAATATACACTTAGACAAGTTTTATTTTACGTATCTATTTTATAACAATTGGTATCAGAGTTCCGTAAGGGGCCTGATACAGAAGTGTGCACGAGTGAAACAGGGTGAGAAAAGTGTATCTGAGTGTCTAGAGAAAAGTGAGTAAAGAGAATGGCTGAAAAATTTGTACAACCAACCATCCCAAGATTTGATGGTCATTTTGATTTTTGGGCCATGATAATGGAGAATTTTCTACGAAGCCAAGAGTTATGGGAGATTATAGAAGAAGGAATTCCAAAGCTTGAAACTGCACCAACAGAAGCAAAACGACAAAAAGTATCTGATGCCAATCTTAAAGATCTCAAAGTGAAGAATTACTTGTTTCAAGCTATTGAAAGGGAGATTCTTGAAACTATATTAGACAAGAGCACGTCTCAAGCCATATGGCAATCGATGCAGCAAAAATACCAAGGGTCCACAAGAGTCAAGCGTGCTCAACTACAAGCTCTGCGTCGTGAATTCGAACTCTTAGGAATGAAGGAGGGTGAGAAGGTGGACACCTATTTGGGAAGAACGCTCAGNCCGTAAGGGGCCTGATACAGAAGTGTGCACGAGTGAAACAGGGTGAGAAAAGTGTATCTGAGTGTCTAGAGAAAAGTGAGTAAAGAGAATGGCTGAAAAATTTGTACATCCAACCATCCCAAGATTTGATGGTCATTTTGATTTTTGGGCCATGATAATGGAGAATTTTCTACGAAGCCAAGAGTTATGGGAGATTATAGAAGAAGGAATTCCAAAGCTTGAAACTGCACCAACAGAAGCAAAACGATAAAAAGTATCTGATGCCAATCTTAAAGATCTCAAAGTGAAGAATTACTTGTTTCAAGCTATTGAAAGGGAGATTCTTGAAACTATATTAGACAAGAGCACGTCTCAAGCCATATGGCAATCGATGCAGCAAAAATACCAAGGGTCCACAAGAGTCAAGCGTGCTCAACTACAAGCTCTGCGTCGTGAATTCGAACTCTTAGGAATGAAGGAGGGTGAGAAGGTGGACACCTATTTGGGAAGAACGCTCATTATTGTTAATAAGATGAAATCCAATGGTGAAGTGATTAATACAAGCATGGTGGTTAGCAAAATTCTCAGATAGTTAACCCCAAAGTTTAACTACGTTGTGTGTTCAATTGAGGAATCTAATGATTTGAATACCCTCAGCCTTGATGAGCTTCATGGTAGCCTACTAGTTCATGAGCAAAGGATGCAAGACAGTCATTCAGATGAACAGGTGTTAAAAGTCATTCAAGAAGAGAGACCAGTAGTGGGTCGTGGTCGCGGCAGAGGTCGCGGACGTGGTATGGGTCGTGGAAGATATGTGCAAAATAAAGCACACATTGAGTGCTTTTACTGTCATAAGTTAGGGCACTGTCGGTATGAATGCCCTGAATTGGAAAAGAAGGCTCATTACGCATCCTTTGAAGAAGGAGAGACAGAAGAAGAAATTCTATTGGTTGCATATGAGGAAACACAAATTGTACAAAAGGAGGATTGGTTTCTAGACTCAGGTTGCAGTAATCACATGACCGGGAATAAGCTATGGTTCACGAAAATACAGGAAGAAGGACTTAATAGAACGGTAAAGCTCGGCAATGATTCGACTCTAGCTGTCACTGCAAAAAGGGAGTGTTCGAATTGAAGTTAATGACACTTTTCATATTATATCAGACGTTTATTATGTACCGGGACTTAAGACAAATCTCATAAGCCTAGGACAACTACAAGAGAAGGGTTTCTCTGTCCTGATTCAAAACAACATGTGCAAGGTTTTCCATCCAGAAAAAGGACTCCTTATGCAGACCAATATGAAGGGAAATCGCCTGTTTTATCTATCTGCTTCACTTCAGTCCTGCTGCCTTCAAACTGTGGAAATTTCAGAAGCAGAAACTCACTTATGGCATCAGCGATTCGGACATCTAAACTTCAAAAGTCTTGGTACATTAGCTAGCAAACAAATGGTGATAGGATTACCATTTCTAAATCCACCCAAAGATATTTGTAGTGCCTGTTTGGTAGGCAAACAACATAGAGATACGTTGTCAAAGCAAAGCACATGGCGAGCCTTCACAAAGCTTCAATTAATTCATGCAGATATTTGTGGCCCTATTTCACCATCCTCTCACAGTAACAAAAGGTATATTCTAAGCTTTATTGATGATTATTCACGTAAGGCTTGGATTTATTTCCTGCATGAGAAATCTGAAGCACTTTCATCCTTCAATAGCTTCAAAGCAAATGTTGTGAAGGAATCTTGTGCCTTTATTACTTGCCTTAGAACTGATATAGGGGGAGAATTCACTTCCAAGGAATTTTCAGATTTCTGCACTCAACAAGGTATATCCAGGCAATTGACAATTGCTTACACCCCACAACAAAACGGTGTTGCTGAACGGAAAAACCGCACCATCATGAATGTCGTGCGTACAGTTTTGCATGACAAACAGGTTCCTAAACAGTTTTGGCCTGAAGCAGTACGCTGGTGTGTCCACGTTCAGAACAGAAGTCCTACAACTGCACCAGAAGATATGTGGAGTGGTTCAAAACCAAGGGTGGATTATTTTCGAACGTTTGGTTGCATTGCCCATGCTCACGTTCCAGATCATACTAGAAGAAAGCTGGATGATAAAAGTCAGAAATGTATTTTCTTGGGGGTAAGTGATGAATCCAAAGCTTATAAATTATTTAATCCTGTTACAAAGAAGGTTATAGTGAGCAGGGATGTTGTATTTGAAGAAGAGAAAAACTAGAATTGGCAAGATGACTCTGAGAAAAATAAAACAGAAGCTCTTGACTGGGAAGAAATAGCCACTGCAACAGACGAACACTCTGAACCTGCTTCACAAGAATGTTCTGAACCTCCTTCACAGGAACGCTCTGAATCTGCTTCACAGGAAGTTACAATTAATGATGGTGTAGATCCTGTTATAACAGAATCAAGTTCTAAACATGTTGATATTCCAATGGCAGGGAGGGCAACCAGAATTCGAAGAACTCCCAATTGGATGACAGATTATGAAACTAATTTGGTAATGGAAGAAAGTGATGAATTGTTGGCAATGATGCTGGCAGAATCTGCAGATCCCCAGTCCTTTGAAGAAGCATGGACGAGTCAACAATGGAGAGAAGCAATGAAAGCTGAAATGGAGGCCATTGAGAAAAACAATACATGGCAACTTGTAGATCCACCAGCAGGATCTACACCCATAGGTCTTAAATGGGTTTACAAGACCAAATTTAATGAAAATGGTCATGTAGAAAAATATAAAGCCAGATTGGTAGTTAAAGGTTATGCTCAAAAGTATGGAAAAGATTATACAGAGGTATTTGCACCTGTAGCTAGACTCGATACAGTAAGAATTTTGATAGCATTGGCTGCACAAAATGCATGGGAAGTATTTCAGCTTGATGTAAAAAGTGCGTTCTTGCATGGTGATCTTAAAGAAGAGGTATATGTTCAACAGCCAGCAGGTTTCATTCAAAAGGGTCGAGAAACTCAAGTTTACCGGTTGCAGAAAGCTTTATATGGACTTAAGCAGGCCCCACGAGCTTGGTATAGCAAAATTGAAGCCTACTTTGCCAAAGAAAAGTTTAATCGATGTTCCAGTGAACACACATTGTTCACCAAACAATTTCAGGGTAATATTTTAATAATCAGTCTTTATGTTGATGATTTGCTATTTACTGGAAACAGTAAACATATGTGTGAAGAGTTTAAAAGTTCAATGAAGCTAGAATTTGATATGACTGATCTTGGAAAAATGAAATATTTTCTCGGAATAGAAGTCATACAAAGCAAGGTAGGAATTTTCATTTGTCAAAGAAGATATGCACGGGAGATATTAGCTCGATTCAACATGACAGAAAGCAATCCAGTAAGAAATCCTATTATACCAGGAACAATATTGTCTAGAGATGAGGAAGGAGTCCCAATAGATACCACAAAGTTTAAGCAAGCAATTGGTAGTCTTATGTATCTCACAGTCACTCGACCTGATTTGATGTATGGGGTAAGTTTAATAAGCAGGTACATGGCAAATCCAAAGGAATCACATTGGGCAGCGATCAAACGGATCCTGAGATATCTTAAAGGCACAATTGAGTATGGAATCTTTTATCAACAGAGTGGAAGAACTGGTCTTGTTGCCTACAGTGACAGTAATTATGCAGGTGACTTAGATGATCGAAAAAGTACTTCTGGTTCAGTTTTTTTAATGGGTACGGGAGCTGTCTCTTGGGCATCGAAGAAACAACCTGTGGTGAGCTTATCTACAACTGAAGCTGAGTATATTGCAGCGGCATTCTGTGCATGTCAATGTATTTGGCTTTGCAGAATTTTAGAACATCTCGGTTCAAAAGAAGAAGGTGCAACAGAAATCTTATGTGATAACAGCTCTACTATTCAATTATCCAAAAATCTCGTCTTTCATGGAAGAAGTAAACACATTGCAGTAAGATTTCATTTTCTTAGAGATTTGGTTAAAGATCAAGTTATTTGTCTTAGTTATTGTTGCTCTGAAGAACAATTGGCTGATATAATGACCAAAGCATTGAAGCTTGACCAATTTGAGAGTCTACGTCGAATGCTTGGGGTTGTGGACATAAGAGAAATAAGCTAAATGTGACAACATATAGCTTAAGGGAGGGAATGTTGGTTATTTTAAATGTTTTAAAATAAATCTCCTATTTATTAGGGAGAATAAGACATTAGTCAGTTAGCATATTTTATTCCTAGATAGGTGCTGTTTTTAAATTTCAGTAACTGCCCATTATGCAAAGCAGTTGTGATGTACTGGTTTTTTGGCTTTTATAAGCTACGCTTGATTACTCAATAAAATATACACTTAGACAAGTTTTATTCTACGTATCTATTTTATAACAAAAGGAACGGTAGGGAAGAGGATGAAGGACACAATGTTTTCCAAGGGGAATCTCTTGATCTTGGAGAAGGTTAGGGTTTGGGTACCAAGCATGGCTAGAGGCGATCATGTTAAGGACGAGTATATATTCTTTGACAAATGAAAATATACCAACATCACTTTGTATGACTTCTACTCTAAGAAACTGTCTCATTTTACCAAAATTGATCATGTCAAACTCCGACTTCGTTATCCTTTTTAATTCCTCACACATGTTTCTACCATTTCTAATGAAAATTAAATCGTCAACATAGAGGCTAACTGTTAGAATATTACAATTATCCTTTTTGGTGAACAAGGTGTGTTCACTGGAGCATCTTTCAAACTGTTCCTTTGCAAAGTAGGCCTCAATTTTTCTATACCATGCTCTTGTTACTTGCTTAAACCCATATAATGCTTTCTTTAATTTGCATACTTGATCTTCTTTTCCTTGATGAATCCTGTAGGCTATTGAACAAATACTTCTTCGAATATCAACATCCACTAGACTATCTCACCACTTCGCTGCTGCAACCACGTCGAATATCCACAACCAGATCTATGACCACTAATAACACTGAAAATTAACTAATAACACTGAAAATTAACTAATAACACTAAAATTATCTAAACCCTAAAATGGAGAAGATAAGGAAAACCATCCTCAATGTCGAAAATAATCGGGAAGAAGGAGGTTTATCACTGAATCGCATACCATAGAGGATGAAAACTTAAGCTTCAAGCACCAATGGAGGCCCTACGAATATTGAAAATGATGTCGACGTCGACAACTGTGTTTACACTATGTTTGTTTTTTTGTTCTCACACTATGAAAGAAAAAGTGAAAATCAAAGAGGCACGAGAGTTTTTTTAAGCCATTTATGTCTTACCCTTTCCTACCAGACTTAAGTGGGCTAGATGTAAACAACCGAATTTACTTTTGGTGGGAAATGGTTAGAAATAATTTTTCACAAATTATTTATAAAAATGACACCAAACATTTTTCAGACGTCTTTTTATTAAACGCAAATGAGCTGACTTAATAGTCCAATTTTGTGTTAGTATCGATTAGTAAATGAATTAGTTTCTAAATTAGTCTCTAATTCATTTTCGGCATCCAAGTTTGTTCTTACAATCACCATCAACAAACCCAACACTCGCAAATAAACCCCACCAAAACCTTAATCGCAAGTTTAGGTGAGGAAAGTGAAAAGTGGTAGGTGGCGTTTATGGCTAACGTCATGCTCCGATGACCTTTCTTTATGAAAACAATATGGTTGGGTGGTGCTCACACATGGTGAAAAAGGGATGGGGAAACCCTCTCGCGATTCATGTAGGAGGAAGCAAATGTTGGGGAGATTTGATATACACACATATCTCCACACTGGTAAGATATTGTCCGCTTTGGGCCAAGCCCTCACAGATTTGCTTTTGGTACTATTCCAAAAGGCCTCTTACCAAGTGAGGTATCTATGTGTATATAAACCCATGTCCAACTCTTCTTTTATCCGATGTGGGAATTTGTTTGTACCCCAACAACAAATGGGGTCACCGGCGATGACCTCGATGAATGACGCAACAATGAGCAATATAGCTTCATCGGGCTCCCATGGGAGAATCTCGATGTGGAACACGTGAACAAGAAGCGAGCGAAGATGATGTTTCAAGTTCATCAAAGACAGGAGCATATGTGATGGGAGGAAGAAGAAGAAGCCTTGTGTGAAGAAGAAAAAGGTGGAATAACGTGGGCTAGGATGAAGATGGTTGAAGATGAGGAGAAAGGAAAACAAAAACAAAAAGAAAAAAAGAAAATATAAAAATGAAAAAAACTAAAATTACCAATATAAGTAATTTAAAAAATGATACATGTCCAAAAACGAATGGGACACATCGTTTACCGCATCAAAAAATAGTTAACACCGTTAATCATTGAAGACTAAATCCAAACATTTTTAAGGGTAAGGATCTAATTGGATGAAAACTTTAAAAAAGAGACTAAAATCAAAATCATGTTATATTTTAGTAATCCATAACTTTTAATTTTATAAATTAGTCACTATAATGACTAAATATTTTTGGTCACTAAAATTGGTTACCCTATAAAAACTTTCTTATAATCTTTGGATGTTGTTAGGATGATTTTTGGCATGGAAATCTACTAAGATAAACATTGAAAATAATTATAGTTGTCTCAAAAGAAGTACATTGAAAAAGTATTGGAACATTTTTTAATGCAAAATACTATGTCAATTAACACTCCATTGGTAGCCAATTTCAAATTAATAGCATCAATTTCATACCAATTTCAAGCCAATTTCAAACTAAAAGCATAAATTTCAAACCAATTTCAAGCCAATTTTAAACTAATTGCAAAATAGAACAAAATGTTGGCTTGATTTATTATTAGGAATTATAATACTAGTAGTAGTATTGGTTATGTTGACTTTGATTATGTTCAAAATTTTGACTAATGCAATTAGTTGAAAAACATCTTTATACTCCACTGTTACATTGTCTACTACTAAGTAGAATATATGGTTGTAGCAATATTTAGGTCAATACATGTTAAATAACGTAACCCAAATGATGGCTAAATTGATAACAATATCTATGTTCAAATATTGAGAAAATTCACCATCAATGAATAAAAAGTTGTCCATACAAGAGATTTGATATCAAAGACTCATATTTATAGGTTTTTTTTCTTATGTCACTCAACTCCCTAATTTTTATTTAATGTAAACTTTTAACTTATACTTTCATTCTTAATAACAACATAGAGTTGTAACTCAATTACATAAGTATATTTAGGGTGTATTTGAACTTTAGAATTTGAGTGTTGTGCACACTTTGAATATTTATATAATAGTTAGTACGTATTTGTGGATGTAAGTTGTACATTAGATTTACTTTAGGTAACTTCACTTGCATTAATAGAAATTATTCGAGACGGTAATTGCGTCTCACAACACTTGTTTTCTGCTGCCATGGTAAATGTCTTTTGTTCTTTCACATAGCACTAGGAAGATCACTCAAAACTTAATAGGCTTAGCTAATGTATGTTTTCTGTTACTGTCTTGCAGAAGTGACACTCAAAAGTTTCTTATAGGTCATTTGAGCGATTGGCATACTCCTGAACTAAAGCAACAAAGAGTGATGGCCTTTGGACCAAGTTGGCTGGTGAGTCAAATTCTTTGGCCCTCCCTGTTAAGGCAAAAATAAACAGAACTTAGCATAGAAATAGTGTAATCCATGAGATGTAACAGAGTAAGAAGAAACAGGAGTATATGTTTCATACCTGCGTCCACAACTAGAATTCTATCGCAGTCCATTACTGTTGGTATTCTATGAGCAATGCTGATGATGGTACGTGCTGCAAAGTCCTCTCGGATGATCTTTTGAATCACAGCATCGGTTTGAGAATCAACAGAAGCTGTTGCCTCATCCATAAACAACAACCTACTTTGCTTAAGCATAACCCTTCCCAAACAAAGCAACTGTCTCTGCCCAACACTCCAGTTATCTCCATTATCAACCACTGTAAACGAAAGTACCATTTCCATTAGTAAGCCCAAAAATTAATCAAACTATCGTAAGAATGTTTCAAACAGCTTATCTACAACTGAAGCTGAGTATATTGCAGCGGCATTCTGTGCATGTCAATGTATTTGGCTTTGCAGAATTTTAGAACATCTCGGTTCAAAAGAAGAAGGTGCAACAGAAATCTTATGTGATAACAGCTCTACTATTCAATTATCCAAAAATCTCGTCTTTCATGGAAGAAGTAAACACATTGCAGTAAGATTTCATTTTCTTAGAGATTTGGTTAAAGATCAAGTTATTTGTCTTAGTTATTGTTGCTCTGAAGAACAATTGGCTGATATAATGACCAAAGCATTGAAGCTTGACCAATTTGAGAGTCTACGTCGAATGCTTGGTGTTGTGGACATAAGAGAAATAAGCTAAATGTGACAACATATAGCTTAAGGGAGGGAATGTTGGTTATTTTAAATGTTTTAAAATAAATCTCCTATTTATTAGGGAGAATAAGTCATTAGTCAGTTAGCATATTTTATTCCTAGATAGGTGCTGTTTTTAAATTTCAGTAACTGCCCATTATGCATAGCAGTTGTGATTTACTGGTTTTTTGGCTTTTATAAGCTACGCTTGATTACTCAATAAAATATACACTTAGACAAGTTTTATTCTACGTATCTATTTTATAACAAAAGGAACGGTAGGGAAGAGGATGAAGGACACAATGTTTTCCAAGGGGAATCTCTTGATCTTGGAGAAGGTTAGGGTTTGGGTACCAAGCATGGCTAGAGGCGATCATGTTAAGGACGAGTATATATTCTTTGACAAATGAAAATATACCAACATCACTTTGTATGACTTCTACTCTAAGAAACTGTCTCATTTTACCAAAATTGATCATGTCAAACTCCGACTTCGTTATCCTTTTTAATTCCTCACACATGTTTCTACCATTTCTAATGAAAATTAAATCGTCAACATAGAGGCTAACTGTTAGAATATTACAATTATCCTTTTTGGTGAACAAGGTGTGTTCACTGGAGCATCTTTCAAACTGTTCCTTTGCAAAGTAGGCCTCAATTTTTCTATACCATGCTCTTGTTACTTGCTTAAACCCATATAATGCTTTCTTTAATTTGCATACTTGATCTTCTTTTCCTTGATGAATCCTGTAGGCTATTGAACAAATACTTCTTCGAATATCAACATCCACTAGACTATCTCACCACTTCGCTGCTGCAACCACGTCGAATATCCACAACCAGATCTATGACCACTAATAACACTGAAAATTAACTAATAACACTGAAAATTAACTAATAACACTAAAATTATCTAAACCCTAAAATGGAGAAGATAAGGAAAACCATCCTCAATGTCGAAAATAATCGGGAAGAAGGAGGTTTATCACTGAATCGCATACCATAGAGGATGAAAACTTAAGCTTCAAGCACCAATGGAGGCCCTACGAATATTGAAAATGATGTCGACGTCGACAACTGTGTTTACACTATGTTTGTTTTTTTGTTCTCACACTATGAAAGAAAAAGTGAAAATCAAAGAGGCACGAGAGTTTTTTTAAGCCATTTATGTCTTACCCTTTCCTACCAGACTTAAGTGGGCTAGATGTAAACAACCGAATTTACTTTTGGTGGGAAATGGTTAGAAATAATTTTTCACAAATTATTTATAAAAATGACACCAAACATTTTTCAGACGTCTTTTTATTAAACGCAAATGAGCTGACTTAATAGTCCAATTTTGTGTTAGTATCGATTAGTAAATGAATTAGTTTCTAAATTAGTCTCTAATTCATTTTCGGCATCCAAGTTTGTTCTTACAATCACCATCAACAAACCCAACACTCGCAAATAAACCCCACCAAAACCTTAATCGCAAGTTTAGGTGAGGAAAGTGAAAAGTGGTAGGTGGCGTTTATGGCTAACGTCATGCTCCGATGACCTTTCTTTATGAAAACAATATGGTTGGGTGGTGCTCACACATGGTGAAAAAGGGATGGGGAAACCCTCTCGCGATTCATGTAGGAGGAAGCAAATGTTGGGGAGATTTGATATACACACATATCTCCACACTGGTAAGATATTGTCCGCTTTGGGCCAAGCCCTCACAGATTTGCTTTTGGTACTATTCCAAAAGGCCTCTTACCAAGTGAGGTATCTATGTGTATATAAACCCATGTCCAACTCTTCTTTTATCCGATGTGGGAATTTGTTTGTACCCCAACAACAAATGGGGTCACCGGCGATGACCTCGATGAATGACGCAACAATGAGCAATATAGCTTCATCGGGCTCCCATGGGAGAATCTCGATGTGGAACACGTGAACAAGAAGCGAGCGAAGATGATGTTTCAAGTTCATCAAAGACAGGAGCATATGTGATGGGAGGAAGAAGAAGAAGCCTTGTGTGAAGAAGAAAAAGGTGGAATAACGTGGGCTAGGATGAAGATGGTTGAAGATGAGGAGAAAGGAAAACAAAAACAAAAAGAAAAAAAGAAAATATAAAAATGAAAAAAACTAAAATTACCAATATAAGTAATTTAAAAAATGATACATGTCCAAAAACGAATGGGACACATCGTTTACCGCATCAAAAAATAGTTAACACCGTTAATCATTGAAGACTAAATCCAAACATTTTTAAGGGTAAGGATCTAATTGGATGAAAACTTTAAAAAAGAGACTAAAATCAAAATCATGTTATATTTTAGTAATCCATAACTTTTAATTTTATAAATTAGTCACTATAATGACTAAATATTTTTGGTCACTAAAATTGGTTACCCTATAAAAACTTTCTTATAATCTTTGGATGTTGTTAGGATGATTTTTGGCATGGAAATCTACTAAGATAAACATTGAAAATAATTATAGTTGTCTCAAAAGAAGTACATTGAAAAAGTATTGGAACATTTTTTAATGCAAAATACTATGTCAATTAACACTCCATTGGTAGCCAATTTCAAATTAATAGCATCAATTTCATACCAATTTCAAGCCAATTTCAAACTAAAAGCATAAATTTCAAACCAATTTCAAGCCAATTTTAAACTAATTGCAAAATAGAACAAAATGTTGGCTTGATTTATTATTAGGAATTATAATACTAGTAGTAGTATTGGTTATGTTGACTTTGATTATGTTCAAAATTTTGACTAATGCAATTAGTTGAAAAACATCTTTATACTCCACTGTTACATTGTCTACTACTAAGTAGAATATATGGTTGTAGCAATATTTAGGTCAATACATGTTAAATAACGTAACCCAAATGATGGCTAAATTGATAACAATATCTATGTTCAAATATTGAGAAAATTCACCATCAATGAATAAAAAGTTGTCCATACAAGAGATTTGATATCAAAGACTCATATTTATAGGTTTTTTTTCTTATGTCACTCAACTCCCTAATTTTTATTTAATGTAAACTTTTAACTTATACTTTCATTCTTAATAACAACATAGAGTTGTAACTCAATTACATAAGTATATTTAGGGTGTATTTGAACTTTAGAATTTGAGTGTTGTGCACACTTTGAATATTTATATAATAGTTAGTACGTATTTGTGGATGTAAGTTGTACATTAGATTTACTTTAGGTAACTTCACTTGCATTAATAGAAATTATTCGAGACGGTAATTGCGTCTCACAACACTTGTTTTCTGCTGCCATGGTAAATGTCTTTTGTTCTTTCACATAGCACTAGGAAGATCACTCAAAACTTAATAGGCTTAGCTAATGTATGTTTTCTGTTACTGTCTTGCAGAAGTGACACTCAAAAGTTTCTTATAGGTCATTTGAGCGATTGGCATACTCCTGAACTAAAGCAACAAAGAGTGATGGCCTTTGGACCAAGTTGGCTGGTGAGTCAAATTCTTTGGCCCTCCCTGTTAAGGCAAAAATAAACAGAACTTAGCATAGAAATAGTGTAATCCATGAGATGTAACAGAGTAAGAAGAAACAGGAGTATATGTTTCATACCTGCGTCCACAACTAGAATTCTATCGCAGTCCATTACTGTTGGTATTCTATGAGCAATGCTGATGATGGTACGTGCTGCAAAGTCCTCTCGGATGATCTTTTGAATCACAGCATCGGTTTGAGAATCAACAGAAGCTGTTGCCTCATCCATAAACAACAACCTACTTTGCTTAAGCATAACCCTTCCCAAACAAAGCAACTGTCTCTGCCCAACACTCCAGTTATCTCCATTATCAACCACTGTAAACGAAAGTACCATTTCCATTAGTAAGCCCAAAAATTAATCAAACTATCGTAAGAATGTTTCAAACCTGAAGAGTCAAGTTTCTCTGGCTTGGAAGCCACTGCTTCTTTTAGCTGACAGCGTTCCAAACTCTACAACAGTAAACAAGAAATGATGAGGCTAATGGCAAAAAAATGAAAGTAAATGGGTCTGAAGGAATTTATTTACCTTCCATATCTCTTCGTCTGTATATTGTCCGGTTGGATCAATGTTAGTTCGAACTGTTCCTTCAAAAAGGACAGGCTCTTGAGGGATTATACCAAACCGTGATCTTAGATCATGAAGTCCCAAGATAGATATTTCAATGCCATCAATTATTATTTTTCCTCCTGTTGGTTCCACCAGCCTGAAGAAAACTTGAATCAAAGTTGATTTTCCACTTCCTGTTCGTCCAACAACACCAACTTTTTCTCCTCCATTGATGCTTAAGGTGATGCCTTTAAGAACCAAAGGGGTGTTTGGACGATATCTAACCTGTTTGCCACAAGTTTAAGTAATGACCTTAAGTAAATAGTTTGTTGCTCAGAGCGTATTACAATAACAATAACACAAGTCTTTTCTTACCAAATATTTCTCTTTAAATTCTTTTAATAATAATCATTTAATAAAGTAATGTACTAAATAAAAATATTATATGCCTTGACACCACATACCATTTATTACTACAACATAAAATAGTTATCTCATTCGTTAACCAGTCATTTAACATCAGCACCTGCTAACTTAATGAAAGTATGCCTATGAAAGTATGCCTTCGGGCTTTACAACAGTCGCAATCAATCATAAGATTTTAAATTGAAAACTCTTGTAAAGTAGGATATAGTGAAATTTTACTGCATAATTAATTTTACCACAACAAATAATCATAATCAATTTGGTTTTTTCTGGATACCTGCAAATCTTTGATATCAACATTGCCTTGACCGGGCCAATTTGGAGGAGGGACACGATCCTTGTTTCTCCATGCTGCTTCAGAGGGAATATTTGTGAACTGTTTGATCCTCTCAACAGATACAAATTTGTTTTCAATGGAACAGCTAGTGTATATGGCCCAGAACATCATGGCGTTTAAGGATAACCCATATGAGAGCGACAAACCAACATTCTCTGCATCAATGACAACAACCCAATCACTTGTTTATCACGATAAAACTTTGACTGCAGTGTAAATACCATTGCTGCTTTTCAACACATTCTACTCCAACATGCAGCGTACACGACGCACACTCCAACCTAATACTATTTTCGACATGTAAATTCTAAGGATAATACATGTAACAATAGTTGAATAATAATTCAAAGGAGCACCATCTTGAAATCATCTTGTCTCTGTATTTTGTCTTACCTCTTGAACATTTTGCACCAATAGAGTATTTTGCTAGAGACGTGCTACAAGGGTATGCTGTGATTACTTTTATACTAAATAATTTGAAAGTGGAAGACAACTTTAGCAAGGTATGGAAGTGGAATAGGGTGACGGCCAAATTCTGATAGTTGGGTAATAGGTGGAATTTTTTTCTTTAAAAAAAGTTGCAACTTTACTGTTTTCTTCATATAATTTTGTTTGATGTGTTTCTGTCCTATACAGACAGTGATGTTGTTATTTTCCTTATTTAACTTGTAACCATATCCACTACGCTGCTTCCGATTAACACTTTCATCTACTCCCACTTTGTAACTCCACGTTTTCTCTAGTGTCTATCCTTGTGTAAAAATTACACTATGAACCTGGTCCACCTATTATAAGTTTTGCTTAGAATTTTGTACGGGACAAATACTTGTTCCAAGGACTCTCAGTTATGATGTCATTGACAGAAACAAAACCGTCTGATCTGCTGAGGACCACTTTAAAAGATTAAACCAGATGTATGTAATGTGAAGGATCATTGAGAAAATAAGGCAAATAATTTAGAAATAATTTTATAGTGAGTTTGTTTACCTGGCTTTATGATATTGCTGGGTAACATGATCATGAACATGGCGGAGAAGCAAAAAACTATGCTTCCAAGCAATTCTAAGCGGAAACCCAACCACGCATTGGAACTGAAGTTGTGGAAATCCATTCGCAAATTAGAATTCACCCGTTTAATGTTTTCTCCGCAAAACTGCTTCTGCTTTCTGAATGCGCGGATTGTCATGACTCCCGAAATGCTTTCAGAGAAATGGTGAATGACAGGTGCTTTTGTAATTGAATCCAGACGAGTTAACTCACGAGAGGAAGCAAGAAAATAACCCTACAAAACCCAAAATCGAAAAATCAAACACGAGTTGTTAACATATATTGCATCAGATATGTTTAGCTGTGAGCAATTCCTGTGCTTTTACCACGGCTGTTCAATTACTTCAATAGTCGAATTGAGAACTCATTAATAGTAAGCACGTTTAGTTTTCTTTCCTGCCACAAAGTTTAGCATATAGACAATGATTAATAATCTAATACCGTTATTCTTTAAATAATAAAATGACAGCAATACATTGGACTAACTGAACCACCGTTCACATACCCGGTACCAAACGTTTAACCAAGCAAGAGGAATTAACAAGAAAGTTGTCGGCCAAGAATTTTGACATGTGATTATGAAGATGCTGATCACTGTAATGTACATGGTTACCACAAAATTGAGGAACAAGGGGATAACGACATCAACATTGGTCTGATCCATTGATGCCTGTCAAAGTTTAAGTCAATATACATATGTGAATGTGACAGTAATGTAAAAATGTTGGTTTATGCACAAATTAAAGGTAGAAATTTGGAGAAGTTATAGATAAAATGTATGCAAATTGTTATGCATAAACTAATTTTAATTCACTGGGAAGTTAATTTTTTTTATGAAGTTCGTCTAAAGAGACTCGAGGTTATAATTCCATGTGACATTTTAAAATAGCATACTATGAGCCTCGAAATTCATACCCTGCTCCGAATTCTCCCGGATGGAGTGGTGTCAAAGAAAGACATGGGGGCATGCAAGATGCTGTGGAGAATTTGAGAGAAGAATATCTGTGCTGTCTTTAACCCAAGGACCGTGAAAGAGTAGGATCTTAGAACAATCAAAATAACTGAAACTACAGCAATAATTGCGTAGATAGAAATAAACACAGAAGGATTGAAGAACTGAGCACGCTCTTCTGATGTTTCATAGGCCAGCCAATAATCACTCGCTACCGTAGAAGCTTGCCACAACACAGAAAGAAAGATTACTCCCCCAATGCCCCACCACCCGAAAGCCTCTGTGCAGTAAAGTTTACATATATGAAAGCTAACTTTCCCAGTTTCTCTTTCCTCTTCTTTGATGAGTTTAGAACCTTCATTGTCAGACTTGAGCTGGTCAAGAGGATTGATTTCACCATTTGTTTCTCTGTTATTAGAAGCTGCCTTCGGTGATTTCATTTGTTTGTTCAGATTGTCCCAGGCACGACCGCACCTTGCTCCATTAGTTTCATACATGTCTCATGTGCTGCAACAAGAGCACTAAAATCCATTCCAGAAGCAAGTAGATCATTGTACTTCCCTGATTGTACTATCGTTCCATCCCTCATCACCTTTTGACCAAGCAAACACGTGTATTAGAAATTTAGAATCACTCACCAAGTTAAATTGAAGATTGAATTAGACAAAATTTTAAAAGATTATAAAAAGGACTTACCACTATAAGAACCACATTCTGTAGGAAGTCTACTTGGTGTGTTACAAGAATAATGGTCTTGCCTTTAAGAGACCCTCTCACACATTCCTGTATAAACATAGTATTGTAAATATGGCGTCATTTTCAGTATACTGTCTCAAAAACATTTGGCTAGGAGCTAATTCACCCAAAATCAATAACTAAAAACTGAATTGTACATCTTTTTTTTTTTTTATAAGGTTTCACAAAATTGACTTGTCGCAAGAAACTTGCACTTGCCAGTGGCCCAAAAAATATGAATTAGTCTAACTTACAGAGTAGGAAACAGTAAGAGATATTAGATTAATCACCTTGAATATTTCAGTACCAGTATGTGCATCTACAGCACTGAAAACATCATCAAGAAGATATATATCAGAATCTTGATATACAGCCCTGGCAAGCTGTATGCGCTGCTTCTGACCCCCACTTAGGTTGATGCCACGCTCTCCAATCTCTGTCTGATCACCATGCTCCATCATTTCCAAGTCTTTCTCCAAGCTACAATCTCTGACCACTTCATTGTACTTCTGCCTGTTCATTGGTAAGCCAAAGAGAATGTTTTCCTCAATGGTCCCGTTTTGAATCCAAGATGTTTGTGCAACATAAGCAGTACTCCCACAAACTTGAATCTGCCACCAAAACATATTGTCAGAAACCAACATTACCGTACAAATCAGTGACTTCATGGTAAAGAAAACAAAGTCCTCATTTCTAAACAAGAAATAAGTACATACCTTCCCAGAAATTTTGTGCATCTCACCAAGAATTGAAGCAAGAAGTGAAGATTTCCCCGATCCCACAGTCCCAACAATTGCTGTGAGCTCCCCTTTATTAATCTCCAAATTAATGTTTTTCAAGTCTTGCAGCTGGCCATGATCATCCCAGCTAAAAGTTCCGTCTCTGACCTGCACAGCAATGCGTCCACCACAACCTTCCTCTCTCTCAACCGAATCATCCAATAATTCTGTGCTAGACATGTACCCATCTAACCGCCCAAGTGATACCAGCGCTTGTGAAAGAGATATCATACTCTGAGGAAAGGATATAATAGGTTCCTGCAGGATCTTAAATACAGATGTGGTGGTGAAAACCGTGCCTGCATCAAGTGGAACTCCAAGCAAAAGCGCGGTACCAAACGTCACAGTTGATATCAACAATGGGGTGCTCCACAACACAATAAAAATGCTACAGATTGAGTGCATTAACTTGGAAACCCAGTCAAACTCAGACTTGCGGAAACCAAAAGGCCTTGGATATTGCAGAAGCTGAAGCAAAACCAGTAACGTTGGATTTCTCATATATTATTGTTTCCTCATGAACAAGGGGTTCAGTTTCTTCTCTAGACACAATCCCGGTAAACCCTTTAACCGCAACACAGAGCAGAAAAAGTGACAGGGGTAAAGAAATGAATGAAACCGTGTCAACAACCATGAAGCTGAAGTATTTCCCATCTTCCACTCCCACTGAGACCAAACGTATGATCCCAGAAGCAGTGAACAGAGAAACCACAATGAAATTCGAAATCCAGTATATTCTGAGAGATAAAGGGTGAGCAACAGCTTCAAATCTTTTCTCATGGACGATCAAGACTATAAGGACTAGTTGTGTTAAGGCCTGAAATAACCAAAACAACCCATCAGTGTGCTTCCAGGGCTCGTTGGTGGAACTGACAAACACTAGAATGCAAGCCACCGCGTACAATATTGTCAAAAGAGTGGTTGCAGTTAGAGTTAGTTTAAACCATGCCGTTGTCCTGACAGAAACTCTGTTGTTTCTGATAAGTGGTTTAACAAGGTGTGAGTCAGCGTTGGCATTGGAAGTGAGCCTAGAATAGAGCTTTACAAGCGCAAACACAAAGAGTGTCAACAGAATCAGAAGGTCAACACCAGACGAAAGAGCTCTCTGAGGGCATGGAGAGAGGAAAATGAATCTCAGCCAGTGAGGCAGATTTGGAGTTGCATCAAATGAACACGAGAGGGATGTGAGCCACGTTGAAGCTGTAAAAGACATGCCCAACAGGAAACTTCTTCACTCGTATTACAGCCTTACAACCTTATAACTCAATTCCCTCCACCCACTGAAACAAGAAAGCACGGTTGGACAAAATTTAAAGGAGCTCAAACACTGTGCTGCCTTTATGAGTCTATATTTAGCAGGTTGGAAACTAACAATACGCCACAAAAAGTAATACAAAAACTCTTTGGAAGTAAAACAAAAACTCCAAAATACAACTCAACAACGCTTACCTTTGCGGGTTTTAGCCATCCTCAATGAAACACGCTTACTCCTGATACGTGTCCAAGACTACAACTCTAAAGCAAATTTCAATTTCTTGTAGTGTTCTCAACTATGGGATGTCAGCAATAAAACTACACTTTTATGGAAATAATTTTTACTGCTATCATCACCAACTTTCATAAAAAAAAAACTATAGCAGCTTGGTCAACATGAAAAGAACCAGTATCTTTTTAAGGAAACAGAGTGCAAGCTTCCCAGATGTTACAAGTCAAGTTGAAGAAGATGGTTTGACAAAAGAAAGACAATTGTCCTTTGATGAATGACCAATGGAGATGAGCAACAGAAGAACACGGTGGCTTGATGTGCGCAGAAAAGGATTTGGGTCGGCCGTTTGGGAATATAAAAGACAAAAGCATCGGATTTTGAAAGCTTTGTCCAATATCTACGGGCAAAAAGGTCTTCCAATTAAACAATAATAACTGCAAAACGTACTTTTTTATGTATTTCAGTTAAAAAAATCCTTTAAGGGGTCTTAAATTTGATGGATATCACTGTCTCAAGGATTGTGAGTATAAGTGTTAATTGGATGTGACGATTAAATCATCTTCTCCAACCCCACACCTTCATATTAAGATGACTTTTTATAATTTCATTAAACTCAATTTAAACTAATTTCCTAATTACATTATGAGTTTTCCACAAGTTTTCAATGCAAATATCCAACCTAATTCCTGATTTCCTTTAATAAGGTTAAGTGATCATTTTGTCTAAAGCATAACCTTAATTACTTTAGTTAGGCAAAAAAATTTCGCCCATCTGCGAATAAAATCTGTGTAAGCGGATATTCATGGATAAAATTCACTATAGATAATTGGTACCTGCGGATACGCGGATATTATATTATCTGTACCCGCAGATATCCGTTACCCGTAAAAAATAAAAATAAAATTTTAATTTATATTTTATTAAACTAAATTTAATTAAATTAACATTAATTTATATTTTATAAGCTTAAATTTAATTTATATTATATTTTATATATGTTTTGTAATTTTATTTAAATTTTATTTTAATAATTTATAAAAATATATTTTTTTAAATATTTACATATATTCACGAGTATTCACGGATATTTTAAAATATGTGTGAATATTTTTTAAGCAAATATTGGTGCGGGTAGCAGATTGGGTAGCAGATAGATTTTTTTTTTCGAGTCAAGTTGCAGATAAACATCGTTCGTGTCCAACCCAATTTTATCCCTAATCTTACTAATTTGTCTGGATAATCATAGACACCTTATTTGAACTTATAGATATTTAAAAGGCCAAAAAAAATAAATAAAAGAGAAGAAAATAAATAAAGATAAGCAAGACAAAAAATTATTTAAATTAGAAATAATGGTGAGATATTACAAAATGATCATAAGAGTAAATTTTTACTTTTTAAAAGAAAAAAAGTAATATCAATTGAATATAAAAATTTTATGTTCATGGTTACAAATGATATGAGGGGTTGTTCTGTTTTGGGTGGTAATTGATTGCATGATGATGATGTTATAATAGTGTTTCTTTATGTTCTATTATGAAATTATTATGTCTAAGTACTCAATGGTGAAGGATGATATTATGTTCATATTTGGGTTCATTGAAATTGTTTGAGGAAGTGGCATGCTTGTTTGAGTGTTTATTTCATTATTTTTGTGATGGAGGGTCATCTAAGATACAAATAGGACCTCTAACAAGAGCCATGTCTAGAAGGATTCAAGTAGAAGAACCTCACCACTTTACTCCTATGGAACATCACTTGTTAATCCTTTCTTCTCTTTACTAAATACATTTACATTGTTTTGTAGGACAACAATAAAAGTTGGAAACCATGCCTATGCATCTTAGAAAGCTTGACAAAGCAAGAGAAAGCAAGGAAGGCAAAGAGGAGTGCAATTTCAACCATTGTGACGCCCAACGTTTTTTGTGCAGCTTTATGTTTTCAACACGTGATTGATTAGCTAGCTTCTGAAACTTGCACACCGAGCTTTGTAGCTTCTCCAAACACACTTCGTTTGTATTTTTAGAAGCTTGCAAGGCAAGTTTCAGAGTCCTCCCTTCATCTATAAAAGGGAGGCTCTTCTCCTTTGTAAAGGGAACATGAATGCTATAAAGAAACGCTGCTGAGATTCTTCCAGCCATCTTTGCTTCGAGTTCATTGTCTTGTGCCTCTTTAGCACATCCTCCTCTAGCTTTCTTCCCCTTTCGAAGGTTGTTTGAGCTTGAGATACATTATACACACATCCAAACTCCACAAAACCTTACATCAAACACTTGGCGCACGTCTAAACTTCCATCATTCTCCTCCAATTCGCTGCTGCATTTTGGATCGTGGAGCACTCTCGCTTGAAGTGTGGAGTCGTTCCTATCATTTGGAATCAAGAGCCAGCACCTCCATGCATTGCTTCAAGAGCTAAGTTGCTCTTAACTTCATTTTCTTACTTTCGTGTTGTGTTGTTCCAGTTTTGTCCATGTGTTTGAATTTGTTTTCACTTTTGTTTTGGCTTAAATTCGCGTTTGTTATTGTTGTTCGTGTTCCTTGAGTTTTGTGTTTGTTCATCATTTTAATCGGTGCAATTCATTTGTTTGAGTTTCATTCCAGCTTTAATTTCCATTTTCCAGTTTTGTCATATCATGTTCCTTTTGTGCAATTTTCACATCTTTCAGTATGTGTTTGAATCGGTTTCAGCTTTCATTTTTCATTTTAATTCGTGTTCAGTGCATTTGATATCTATATATTGATCATATAAAGCAATGATATATCTATACATTTGATATCTATATATCTATATATCAATTTTCACATCACACATTCATTAACGTCGTTTGATGAAATTGACGGAAAGGATTTATTTGCATCAAATTAACAAAAATAAGGACCCAATTGAGACGCCAAAAAATAAAGGGAGCTATTTCAAATTCTGAACAAAAATAGGGACCTATTGAGACATTAAACCATTTGATGATCTATTTCCTATAGAGGTTCCAAGTGTTTTACTACCTCTAAGGGCAATAGAACATTAAATTGATTTCATTCTTGGGGCTAGCCTTCCCAATCAAGTCAATAATTTATTGGACAAGGGCTGGATCCAGAAAAGCCTTAGTCCTTGTGCGGTGCCAGTGTTGTTGGTCCTAAAGAAAGATGGATCATGGAGGATGTGTACTAATTGTAGGGCCATCAACAACATCAATGTTAAGTATAGGCACCCTATTCCTCGCTTGGATGATATGTTAGATGAGCTACATGGAGCAAACATGTTTACTAAGATTGATCTTAAAAGCAGATATCACCAAATTAGAATAAAAGAAGGAGATGAATGGAAAACCACTTTTAAGACCAAATTTGGTTTATATGAATGGTTAGTCATGCCTTTTGGCTTAACCAATGCTCCTAGTACTTTCATGCGACTAATGAATCATGTCCTTCAGGAATACATAGGAAGGTTTGTTGTGGTCTACTTTGACGACATTTTAATATATAGCCAAGGTCTTAAAGAACATCTTCACCATGTTAGGAAGGTCTTGAGTTTGCTTAGACAACATCATCTCTTTGCCAACTTTGACAAATGTACTTTTTGTCAAGAAAGTGCAATTTTTCTGAGATTCAAAGTTGGAAAAGACAGTGTCAATGTTGATCCTGACAAAATCAAGGTTATCCAAGAGTGGCCTGTTTTGAAAACCATGGGAGAAGTAAGAAGTTTTCTCGGTCTCACTAGTTTCTATAGATGTTTTGTAGAAGACTTCTCTATTATTGTTGTTCCCCTCAATGAGCTGATAAAGAAAGATGTGTCATTCAAATGGGGTGATCGACAAATCTTAGCCTTTGAGACCTTAAAGCTTAAGTTAACACATGCACTCATTCTACACTTAATTTTTCCAAAGCCTTTCACGTAGAATGTGATGCATCTAGGGTTGGGATAGGAGCAATCTTAATTCAAGAAGGTCATCCCATTGCTTATTTTAGTGAAAAACTTCAGGGACCAACTTTGAATTATCCCACCTATGACAAAGAGTTATATGCCCTTATACGA